CATTTTGTGTTCGACCTGTTTTATTTGCTTTTGTTTTGACTTACATTCAGGTCAGTATCAGTTGTGTTGTTACTGATATTTCAGTGCTACTTTTGCATATTAAAACAATGGGCTTTATGGAAGACACTCAACTTCCTACTGTACTAAGCCGCAAATGTGAAGTTCAGAGTCTTGTTTAAGTACGAGCATAGCTTTAAGTATTGAGATTGACCAAGAACAACTTGTGGAGAACATTAGAGCTGAGTATCAGATTTTGGTTCTTAAAATTGTTAAAACTTGAAAGGGAAGATATAGTTCGAGGGTTTCACATAGTTCTAAAAATGCATCAAGTCATAAAAATGTTGTAGGAATGTCCAAGGCATGCAGTACCTGAAGATCCTGGATTTTCATACGGTAAAATCACAATGGTGGTGCAGTTTGTTCTTTCACAAGTGTAGGTTACTGGAAAGCGATTCCGGGATCGCTACGGCTGAGTATGTAACTTTCATTTCTGCCATTAGTATGCAAGGAAGATTAAATTGACCTGAACAGCTGCACATTGTTTTCTGGAACTGGGGCTTAATTCTAATGGCATGTTATCTGAAGAATGATTGGGTCATTTGTATGAAATTCTTATAAAATATATCAAGGCCATTCAAGCATCTTCATAATTTGCTCAATCTGGATTATAAATCGTTTTCTGTATTTAATTTTTTATTATCTCTCTATTCAATACATTTTATTTGACCATGTCTTTAGTTGATGATTGATTAATCTCTACCTTTTGCCAATTTATAAAAAGTTTTTACACATTAAGAAGGAACACAAAAGAAAGCAAGCTGTCTCATTCTAGTAGCAAATGTATCAATATCCACATTGAAATCCGGTCCAATTCTTCTCTCTCTAGGCTTCGAATTAAGCACTTCAGGTATAACAAAATCCGGAGAAAGAAACACATTAATATATTATATTTAAGAATAGGTTTTTTTAGTGGTCCTTATGGATGTGGGACGGCGGTGGCGGTTGTGGGGCATCTATTGTGGTGGTGGTGGTGGTAGTGGCGCCGCCAATTGTTATGGTAGTTGTTGTGTGTTCTGGTTTTGTGTTGATTTGTGGGTGGTGATGTGTATACATGTGTGTGTGTGTGGTGATTGTTTTTTTTTTTTTTTTTTTTTTTTTTTAACACTTAATTCACTTCATTTTTTAGTTTTAGTTTAGTGTAATTTGGTGAATATATACATACACATAATTGTTCACTTGTTCTCTAGTCTGCATGTATGTACATCTCAAGTATTAACTGATATATTCCATTGGGCAATTAAAAAGATAGTTTATTTTTTTATATTCAATGGTTAAGATTTAATTCTTGCATAAATTCATTGCACATTAATGAGCAGGTGAACAGTCTTATATACATACATATTCATATATACAAAGTCAAAGGGTATTCGCAAGTCAATACAAAATAAAAAAGGTAGCAATGTCATTTTCTAAGCAAAAATGCTCTTAGTGAAAAACAGGCAAAACGTTTGTAACATGAGATAATAATTTTTACCAAATAAACAATCTGTGTATACATTACAGGTGATTGCTTTAACAGCAAAATTTCAATATTGATTGTGTCGAAAAGGTAATTTGTAATTTTTAGTAAATTGAAGGTGTGGGTTGTCAAAAAAAACAGAAAAAGTAAAAGAGAGATATTATGTTTTCTAATTTAAATAATATTATGTTGCGTTGGTGTGTGCTGGAATGGAATGCCCATTCTAACCATTCATTTGTTTTGTATGCAATTTAAAGTGGGAATCGTGAAATGAAAAGGGAATGAAAATTCATTTTACAACCAAACCTATAGAATAACCATTCCATTCCTCCACCACCACCACTTCCGCCTTTCACCACCACCACCACTACCACTGCCTTCCACCACCGCCATTGCCTTTCACCATTGCCCACCGCTTTCCACCACTGCCACTGCCTTTCACCACCGGCACTACCTCCATCGCCTTTCACCACTGCCACCACCACCTCAATCGCCTTTCACCACTGCCGCCACCACCACCACCGCCTTTCACCACCGCCACCACCTTCCACCACCACCGCTACCGCCTTCCACTACCACCACCGCTACCACAACCATCGCCTTTCACTGCCACCGCCACCGCCACTACCTTTCACCATAGCCATTACCACCGTCACCGCCTTTCATCACCACTACCACCTTCCATCACCATCGCCACCGCCACCGCCATCGCCTTCCACCACCTTCCCCCACCACCACCGCCGCCTTCCACTACCACCACCTTCCACCACCTTCCATCACCAGCACCGCCACTGCCTTCCATCACCACCACTGCCACCACCACCACCACCACCACGACCTCCATTGCCTTCTACCATCACCACAGTCACCTCTATTGACTTCCACTACCACTACCTTCACTACTATCTCCTTCCAGCACCACCACCACACTACTACCACCGCCTTCCACCAACACCACTGTCGCCGTCTTCCACCATTGCCACCACCGCCGCTTTCCAACACCACCACCTACATCACTACCGCTTTCCACCTCCATCACCATCCAGCACTGCCACTGCCACCATTTATTTTTAAATTTTTTTAGAGAATGTTATTTTGTTAATTTAATTTATTTGTTATTAAGAGAGATATTTTGAAAAATTCAATTTAAAATTTATTCCATTCTAAATTTTAAATTCGTCCAACCAAACACTAGAATGCTAATGGTAATGGTAATTTTTTCTTTTTGTATTGTGTGCTTTCAGTTTAATTTGAATTTTTTTCCTCTTAAATTCGTGTTTTATAGGAGGGAAAGAAAAAAAGGAGAGAGGTATTTTTCTATCCCCAAAATTGGAGAAATAGGAGAGAAAGAATGAATAATTACCATAGATATGTAATTATCATTTTTAACCTTTCCAAAAATTAGAAATTTTCCTTTTATGTTATATAAAGAGGGTATAGTGGTAAAAGAATATAAAAACCATATTTCTCTTCTTTCCAACCAAACAAAAAAACAAAATTGGTCACCCTTTTTACTACTTATTTTTCTTTAGAAATATCTCATTTATCTTTTTCCTTCTCCCTTCTATCTATTTTTCCCATCTCTCCAACCAAACGAAACATAAGGGTTAAAGGAATGTTATGTTTTTATATATTTATATAGCAATAAATAAAGTATGAAAAATTAAAACATAAAAAACATATTTTAAAAAAAAAAAAAAAAAAACATTTTTTTCTAATGTCCATACTAACTAAAGAAAAATATGCACGTAGAGAGAGAGAGAGAGAGAGCGCAGGCACTCCTGCATTGGTTTAAGACGAGCGTGGGGATGTATCTTTCTTCTCTTTCTTTTCTTTTCTTTTTTCTTCTCTTTTAATTATTGCAAAATACCCTACATAATGTCTCTTTTAACCTTGTTTAAGAGTTAAATATATGCATCAAATAAAAATTAAAAAAAATAAAGAAGAAAAAAATTAGATTTTAATAATCAAAATTAAAACAATATTAGCTTTATAGTGACCATAAATTTTAAATAATAATAATAACAACCAAACTTAAAAAATAAACTACTAAGTAGTGGCATTTAAGATGTAATGCCCTAAATACCCTTATTTTATCCACCTCTCCGTTGTTTTTTTTAAAAAAAATGGCAAAGAATGAGGAGGAGGAGAATGGCGGTGAGTTGAACCTGTGCTCTGACACGATATCAGTCAAATAATTAGTGAACTTTGAAAAGATATTTATATATGTCTATTTTCTACCAATTGTACTATACAATTCACACCGTTTGATGAGAACCGTTAGCAGTGATCATGGTATGATATCAATGGGCTGGGGATGCCTGTTATTAGAACTGTTAGGCTATCTATATTGGTAAGATCATGATGGACTCGGTCTCTGTAAAACAAATATTTTTATTCCCCCCCCCCCCCCCCCCCCAAAAAAAAAAAAAAACATATAGATAAACATAGATAGTTTGATTTGATATAAGAATTTTAGAAATACAAAATAGATAGATATACGTATAAAAAAAAAAACGATTTAACAGATAAATATGGATAGTTTGATTTCATAAAAAAATATTAGGAGGCAGAATTTCTATACAACTAAATGATTATTAAACTTAAGGCTGGAAATAGAAGAGAAAATATATGATAGCATAAGTGAAAAAAAATGATAACAATAATTTCTATTCATGTTTGAATAGGTACGAGAGAAAAGAATAAATATGAAAGAAAAGAATAAAATGTGATAGTATTCTTAGAAAAGATAGCGGAGAGAGTTAGCGAGAAACTGTGGTATAATCCATTTGCCAAATCAATTCTCAAAGAGACCCGGAATAGAGGCTAATTAGTGTAAGGCTGTCGCAGAAGGTATTTCCAGAGGCAAACAGAAGGAAAAGAGGATTTGAGAAAAGAAAAAATAATAACAACAATCAAATTACTAACATAGTACTCTTTATAGGGCGAAATAACACTCTTTATAGGGCGAAATAACAATTTCTTCCTTTAAGGGAAAGGAAAATGAGGGATAGCTTTTCCTCATTTTAAGTCATCCAAACATAACAAACCTTATTCCTCCTTATCCTTTCTCTCCAAATCCCTCAATCCAAGCAAGGGCTTGGGGGGGGGGGGGAAAATACTAACAAACATCTAATTCTATGTTCTAAATTATTCATTTATTTATGATTCTATGAAGCTAAAAATATACTACTTTTCATGTCATGTTTACTGCTGGTCTATCTAGAAAACCAATGAGATAAGAAGCAGTTAACATGAAAGAAAAGGCATATCAATTTATTTAAAAAGAAAAAAGCAAACAAACAAACAAACATTCTTTTTCGCACGAGATCAAAATATCATTTCCCCGATTTTACCCTGCAAAGGAATTGTGAGAGATCTGTGCAAAGATCTTATCAATCATCAAGTAACACATTCCACATCAGAAAACGCACATAAATGGAAATAATAATGGCATGCCTTACCATGAAAATTGACCCAATAAATCAAAACATTAAAATATTTCATATAGTTTTCCCATAAATTTATTTACCAAAAATATATATAATATATATTTTGCCGCCACCGCCGGTCCAGCACCCAGTTCTGAGAGGGGCAACCAGAGATGGAAAACAAAATGTAGCAGCAAACAAAGCAACAAACTAAACGACTTGGGTCCATAAAACAAGCATATACCATGTCTCTTTTATGATAGTAATAAAGATGGTTTAAAGCAGCAGCAGCATCATCTTCAGTGAAAACTCCGAATCGCACAATTCACTTCTTCTTTGCAGCAGATTTGGTGACCTTGGCACCAGATGCTTCCTTCTTATCCACATTCTTGATAACTCCAACAGCAACAGTTTGCCGCATGTCCCTTACGGCAAATCGTCCAAGTGGGGGGTACTCCGAGAAAGTTTCCACCACCATTGGCTTGGTCGGAACCATCTTGACCATCCCAGCATCACCATTCTTTAGGAACTTCGGCTCCTTCTCAATCTCCTTACCAGATCGGCGGTCAATCTTGGTCAAGATCTCAGCGAACTTGACAGCAATGTGGGAGGTGTGGCAATCAAGAACTGGTGCGTAGCCATTTCCAATTTGTCCGGGGTGGTTCATGATAATGACCTGGGCTGTGAAATTTGCAGCCCCCTTGGCTGGATCGTCCTTTGAATTAGAAGCAACGTAACCACGCTTGAGATCCTTCACTGCAACATTCTTCACATTGAACCCGACATTGTCACCAGGCAAGGCTTCCTGGAGAGCCTCGTGGTGCATCTCCACAGACTTGACTTCAGTGGTAAGACCAGTAGGTCCAAAAGTTACAACCATACCAGGCTTGATGACACCAGTCTCAACCCTTCCTACTGGGACAGTACCAATACCACCAATCTTGTAGACATCTTGAAGTGGAAGCCTCAGAGGCTTGTCTGATGGTCTCTTGGGCTCACTGATCATGTCAAGGGCATCAAGAAGGGTTGGGCCCTTGTACCAATCAAGGTTGGTGGACCTCTCGATCATGTTGTCACCTTCAAAACCAGAGATTGGGACAAAAGGAACTTTGTCGGGGTTGTAACCAACCTTCTTCAGGTAGGAGGAGACTTCCTTCACAATTTCATCGTATCTTGCCTTGGAGTACTTAGGAGTGGTAGCATCCATCTAGAAATAAGACAACCAAATTAACAGCATAATCACATAAATTCCCAACAAATGCAATGGTTAATGGCTAGTGTTGTACCTCACATTACACATAAAGATACAAAATAAGAGCACTTGTGAGCATAGAACCATATAAAGTTTAGGGGATTAAGATGCACTATGGTGGTGAACAATATAAAAGCTCACCCCAGAGGATTTATGGGAGACGAATAAGCAGAATTCAATATGCAGACACAACATTGCGTGCAATATAGGGAATTCATTAAGATGACAGCATAAACTATTTGCAATGTCCTATTTTAATCCCCACAGTTATGAGACAACAACAACAAAGATCATGTGCAATATAGGGTACCCATTTAGTTGGGAGCATAAATAGTTAGTGGCACATACTCAGTTAACAGTATGACAATTACCAATGCCAAAGAAGAGCACTCGAAGACAATGAAGGACCATTTCCTCTTGTGATCTTATGTCCCATATATGTTTATAGATAAACACACATATATATCAAGTGCAGGATATATAAGTATACTTTAAGGAAAAACCATTGAGAATCTACTTTTATGGCGTCAGTTGGGACTGACGGGGCTCGAACCCGCAGATTCCAGCTCAACAAGCAGTAATCTAACCAAATGAACTACAATCCCAGGGCAAAGGCATTAATATTTCGTCGGGAAATTGAGGGGGGGACCACTTCATAGAGAGAATAAATGAGTATCAAATATACATGCAATGAGATCATTGCGAACATATTCATTTAGAAAATGGACAGCCTACATTATAATTAGCAGACATAGTATGTACTTTTACCTTGTTACAGCAGCAAATCATCTGCCTGACACCAAGTGTGAAAGCAAGAAGAGCATGCTCACGGGTCTGGCCATCCTTAGAAATACCAGCTTCAAAACCACCAGTGGTGGAGTCGATAATGAGGACGGCACAATCAGCTTGGGATGTCCCAGTAATCATGTTCTTAATGAAGTCACGATGCCCAGGGGCATCAATGACTGTGCAGTAGTACTTGGTGGTCTCAAATTTCCACAAGGCGATATCAATGGTGATACCACGTTCACGTTCAGCCTTCAGTTTGTCAAGCACCCAGGCATACTTGAATGATCTCTTGTTCATTTCAGCAGCTTCCTTCTCAAACCTCTCAATCACACGCTTGTCAATTCCTCCAAGCTTGTAGATCAGATGGCCAGTGGTAGTCGACTTGCCAGAGTCGACATGGCCAATAACAACAATGTTGATGTGAACCTTCTCTTTACCCATTATAAATCTCAAGAAATAAACTGCAGGACAGATTGAAAAAGTGTCATCAAGACATTACCTCTCAGGTTACATGAACCCATAAACTATCAATAATTTAACAAATGCAGAGCAATGTACATAGCACACTTCCATAAGCCAATGGAAAATCAATAAAATGTCAGTCTACACCACTCAGCATACAACATAATGACAGAAAATTAAAAAAGAACAAAATATAATTACTAACAAAACAATCAATTAACAACTTAATCAATTAGACAAAAAAAAAGTTCAGAGTAGCCAACAATATAAATACTAACAAAACAATCAATTAACAACTTAATCAAGTAGGAAAAAAGAAGTAGTCTAAAAACTTGACAGAGTAGCCAACAATATAACACCCTTCAACCTCGTAGGGAAAAAATAATAACATAAAAAAGAGGTCAAAGATATGATTTAATTCAATTCACAAAAGAAAAACAGATTACTTCAGAATGAAAAACCAAAAGAACAAAACACAAAACATTAAGGGCCTGTTTGGCATTCGATTGTTTTAAGCATGTTTTGTTGTAGGTGTTTTGGGTAGAAATCGGAACCATGTTTGGTAACTAATATTTGTTTTGGAAAATTCGAAAATTTGCTTTAGTTCCTCCACTAAAGTACCAAAACACACAACATGTTGATATGGGTTTTGGCCAAAAAATCTAATATGCTATGAACTATTCCAAACTAATATAGACCGTCCCAAACATGATATGGGCCCAAATTTGGATACCAATATCAGAAAAACAATATCATAACACCTCCCAAACAGGCCCAAAGAAACCAATCTCTATTGATTTTAAAATAACAATTTTTTTACTAGAAATAGTCAATAACAGTTAAGATGTTGCCCAAAATTTAGACCATTATACCAAAATTTATCAAAATCCCTAATTGTGAAAAAGATTAAGATATTGAAAATAAATATATGCATCGGTATAATATCTCTACTGATCAACACAATAAATAGTTCAAACAAACAGATTGAGATATTGAAAATAAATATATGCATACGTATAAGATCTCTATTGATCAACACAATAAAAAGTTCAAACAAACAGCAAACTTCATCGAAGCATCTAAATTCACAAACAGTCTACAACCGATGAACAGTACAAAATTTAAGATAACAAATACGAAACATGGATCTTAAAAAAAGAATTTTTTTTAACTAGAAATAGTCAATAATAGTTGAGATTTTGGCCCAAAATTTATACCATAATACGAAAACTTATGAGAATCCCTAATTGTGAAAAAGATCCAGATATTTAAAATAAATATATGCATACGTATAAGATCTCTATTGATCAACACAATAAAAAGTTCAAAAAAGTAGCAAATTTCATCGAAGCATCTAAATTCACTAACAGTCTACAACCGATGAAAAGTAAAAAAATTAAGACAAAAAACAATCAACGCAAATTGATGCATAACAGATCTAATTAAACCTCGACAGATCAGATACAAAACCATATCACATATGCGGAAGCATCGAACCAGTACAAACTCATGAAATACAAAACCAAATCACATATGCGGAAGCATCGAACCAGTACAAACTCATGAAACTGATACGCAAGTATATATATATATGATATATACTTATATATATGTTAAAACCATGGAACAAAGAAGAGATTAATGGATATACCTCCAACGAGGGAAGCACCGAAACCCTAGGCCGCACACGGTATCAGAGAGAGAAAGAGATAGAGAGAGCACTGAGAATTGCGGAGTACGTGCTCTTTTATAGCCGAATGGGTCAGCGAAAGCTAGGGTTTTAGAATGATATGCGATTATTTTAAAATAAAATAAAAGAATTCTGTTAGCATAATGAGAAGTGGGCTGGCCCAAATTCGCACGAGTAATGGGAGTGGTGTGTCCTGGTTTGGGCTGAGCTCAACCAGTACATGTAATTTGGATTTATTCTTACAACAACTACTTGGGTTAATTTCACACATGATGTTTGGCCAAATATTATATGAAAATACTTTTCGAAAATTAATATCACTTAGACCCAAAACACTGTTTGAAACGTGTAAAAAGACAATTTTATCCCTAATATTTAAATAGTTTTTATTATAAAATATCATAAGTCTAAAATGATTTTTTTGCCCTGATAAATTACACTTACGCCAGTGGGTAGAGATGGAGCATGTTCAGTCTTTTGCATCTGTGTTAAGACTTTAGAGAGAGAAATATTGGTTTAAATAACAAATAGAAACCCAAGAACTACTATAGAACTATAGACACACACATATATCTATATATGTATGTATATTTGTACATGAATGTTAAATGGATATTGATGAAATCTGAAGGGCATCAAGGGATGGAAGAGATCTTGGAGAGGATGGAGATGAGAATATAGTCACGTAAGGCATGAAAGATATCATATCTTTGAATGGAAGTTCTAGGTTTTTTGCTGTGAGACATATATCTTTTTTTCTATTTGAATTTCTTATTCTTCTTCTTCTGGGTGTTTGTGTGTTGCTGTTAAATAATGACTGAAGCCCTTTTCTGTCTTTTCAAAGAAATTTTCTTTGTTAATTGATGACTGTGAAGGGGACAAAATAAGAAGGAAAAAAAATTAAAAAAATAAATAAATAAATAAATAAGTAGTTTAGAATGATGTGACTAAATCCATGCAAGTATTAGGAAAAGGCAATTGATCGTTATGACAAGTAAGCATTCAGATCATGTTAAAATGAATCACACAAATATAATCTTTTATAATTATTTGAAAATGGACATTTTTATAAATGAATTTTTAGAAAACAGTTTTTTAAAAATTAAATCAAGTAGAGTTTGTTTTTAGTTTTCTGAGAATAGAAAAATGTTTCCATAATTACAAACCAAGCAAGTCCCAAATTGCAAAATCTATTTGCATTGAAAGTTACTTCAATATTTGTTTCGTGTGGAGAAACTGACCATGAGTGTTTAATGCACAAATTTTATATAAAAGTGTTTTTCCTTTTCTTTTTTTAACCTCTCACTTTACCCTTTATTTTATCAAAGTCTCTCTTTAACTTGTTCCTAATTGGTTAGAATGTTTTAATTTGTGAAAATGATAAAAGCCCAAAATTGGGGAAGATTATCCGGCTTAGTGCTACTAGATGTTATTACTTAATAGTTATGAAGTGATGTTCTTTTCTAGATCTCTCATCTTTAATGGCGTGGCGAGGGAGGACAGGAGGGACACGATATATATATACATATATATATATATATATATATATATATATATATAGTATATGAGAAGCAATATAAATAATAATAATAATAATAATATAATTGTAAATTTACTTACCCAAAAAAAATATAATTGTAAAATTACAAAGTATTTAGGGATAGTTTAGTCTTTTATCTAATTTTTAAGGGGAAAAAGTTTTTTGACAAAGTCAAAGGGTATTTAAGTCATTTTACAATATGCCAGAGCTCTGACCCTAACGGTTGAAGTGTGACTGAAAGACGGAACAAATATTTGTAGTATGGGTGATAGTAATTTTCGAAAAATGTCTCTAACTTAGATTTATCCAAACTTTAAGGGGTGTCACTGAAATTAACCCTAACTATTATTATTATTATTTTAGGTAAAACTCACAGACACCTACTATAAAGCAAGGTTCGTAGTTGCGATATTAGACGCGGTCACGGTGTAACAGAATTGGGCATGTATTGTTGTTACGTAAGGAATCAGTTATTGCAATTATGATTTTTCTTTTTTAACTCGCATATGATCCAAAAATTGCATCAATACGTTAATTTAAATAACTTAATTCAATAAAAGTATTTTTTAATGAATTTTAGTAATATTTATTGAATTTTTAAAGAATGTTTAACACAAATAATAACATATTTGTATATTCTAAGTCATTGTCCTAATAAAAAGAGGCTTTAGTAAAAAGATTTTAAGTACTAAAGGCATAATAGCCTAATGGTTCCAAAATAAAATGTTGAGTGTTCAAGTCTCCAGAGGGCCAAATGGGTGTAACTGTTATGAGTATATTTTTTGTCAAAAAAAAAAAAAAAAAAAAAAAAAAAGGATTTATAATTACTTAATATACTTAATACTTTTTTTTTTTTTTTTAGTATTTTGAAAAAAAAAAAAAAAAAAAAAAAAAAAAAAAAAAAACCTATTTAGATTAAATATCTTGTCAAAAAAAAAAAAAAAAAAGGGATTTATAATTACTTAATATACTTAATACTTTTTTTGTTGAGTATTTTGAAAAAAAAAAAAAAAAAAACCTATTTAGATTAAATATCTATTATTAAATAACATTCTAAAAGCATATATTATATATTATTGTTGGAATATATATATATATATATATATATTTGAAGATGCCAAAGACGGATTGGACCAGACCCGACCCGCGAGTGAGGCATCAGATTGAATGGTAGGTCCGAGCCCAAGCAAAAAGGGTACCGCAATGAGCCCAACACCCACGAAAAAAGGATCGGACCGAACAGTTGAACTCAGCCCATAACACAACACTGAGAGTTAAGCCTAACATCTGAGGCTCACATAATGAAGTCAGGCCCAAAAGGAAGAAGGCCCTAGAATAAGAGCCTTATACAATAAGTTGGTGATAATTTTGATGATGGTACATAAATAGACCATACGAGTAGAGAGAGGGGGGTTTTTTGGACTTTTTGATTCTGTTAAAGTGTAAGAATTTTAGAGAGAGAAAAATCGAAGGAAGTTCTTGCATCTTCAATTGGCGCCGTCTGTGGAAAACGTGGAAGATTGATTCTTGTTTGATCAACGTCATGTTGATTCCGACTGATTGATGATGACGAAGCTTAATTTGTAGCAATTTAGTCCGAATCTAAGAGATTGCGGTTGGCTTTTGAAGAAATTCTGGATTCTTGATTGATTCTGAGAGATTGGCGTTAGGTTTACGAAGCCGTGATCCACTCCATCGCGACTCGATCCGGCAAGCTCAAACGCCGGAACAACTCTAATCTATTGAAAGGAAAGCAAAACTCGTAATATTTGAGTTCAGATCTACCGTGATTCACATTGGCGAGGCTCCGATCTAGAGTTGAACTTACGATTCATGCCTTTGCTCCGTTCTGGAATGATGATTGGGGGTGAGAACTCCAATACGGTAGAGAATGTCCAGCAGGTGAAGCTTGATGAGTTGATAAGCATGATCGAAGCTCTCAGAAGAGAGAATGCAGATTTAAGGACTGAAATGCAGCGTCAAGAAGTCCCGGTGATTCCGCGACCGCTCCCGGCTGGAAAACAAGTTGCACATATCGATGCGGCACATCACGGCAAGGAGGTAGGGAACAATCAGACAGATTTTCACCGCGAGGAAGTCCGGCCAAACGATTTGCCGCCAAATCCCCGTCATATTGATGATCGTGAAGGATCAACTCATGTGGATCCACGGCGTGAACAGATCAGGCGAAACGAAGCCATGACCTTTGATCCACATCAAGAAACGCTCAGCCGAGGTAAAACAATGGAGTTTGATCGTCACAAAGCTATACCTCCATGGCACAGAGAGTTCGTGGAGGACAGATCATTCGATCCGACCTATCGGCCTTCCATGGCGACGTTCGACTATCGCGGCTCAGAAAGGAGATCTGTGGATCAAAGAGCAACCGTGGGGTTCCAGAGGGAAAATGAAGCCCTCTGTTCAGCAGCTCGAACGGTTGACTCACCATTCACTGATGAAATTCTGAATGCTCCGAGTCCGAGGAAATTTTCCATGCCTATCTTCATTCTGTTCGACGGAACGACCGATCTGATTAATCTTGTGTATCACATCCAGTTGAAAATGGCTCTGAACACTGAGAGTGATTCCTTGATGTGCAAGTGTTTCCCTACAAGTCTAGCTGGACCAGCCCTCAATTGGTTTAAGAACCTGCCGAGGGGCTCAGTAGATAGTTTCTGAAGCTTATGTGATCGGTTCATAAGCCAATATTATGGAAATAAGCGTCCGGCAAAGGACATTTCAAGCCTATTCACAATGAAGCAGCATGAGGATGAGTGCCTCAAAGCTTTCCTAACCAGGTTTAACCTTACCAAGAGTATAGTAATTGAATGTCACCCTTCTACAACGGTTCAAGCATTTATACTGGCCTTGACTCGTGGCACTCCATTCCACACAAGCTTGGTAGTGAACACGCCGAAGACTATGGATGAACTAAATGAAAGAGCCGATGGATTTGTGCGCTTGGAAGAAGAAGAGGCAGCAAACGCTCGGAAAACATCCGTCATATCAACAGAGGACAAAACCATAGCAAAGATCAGACAAAAGTAGGTTCAGCCACAGCGTTCCTCGTGGAAATCTGAGAAGAGGCCCAGAGAGGAAGAGCTGGTTACTCCATTGAAAGTCACCTTAGCAAGGCTGTACCAAGAAAATAAAGATAAGTTCTGATCACCTTTACCAATCAGACAACCCCTTAAACAGAGGGATCAGTCTAAGCATTGTGCATTTCATTATGACTTTGGCCATCAGACTAACGAATGCAGGAACTTAAAGAGACAGGTAGAAATGCTGATAGCCAGAGGGGAGTTCGCAAGTTATATTCAAGGCCCGACGGCGGAACAGAACAGGCCAATGGAGCACATAAAGAGGAATCAGAAGTTGAATCCTCACAATACGCAACCAGTCTGAATAATCAATGCAATTCACGGTCGACCTGAGCCTACTGAGGAGTCAGATGAACTGCTTCGAACACGCCTTCGCTATGCACGGATGAAGAGAAGGATGGGCAGTGTAAACACTCTGCACCAACAGAGCGCATCAACACAGATAAAGTTTGACAGAACAGATCTATTGCG